TGTAGTAAACTCCTTGAACTTGTCGAAAACCTTTCGCAACAAGTCGAGCTTTGTAGACAGTAACATTACCATCAGCGTCAGTCTTCTTCTTGAAAATCCTTTTATTCTCTATGGCTTGTCGATCATCGGGCAATTCAACCAAAGTCCATACTTTGTTCTCATACATGGATCCCATCTTAGATTTCATGGCCTCAAGCCATTTTGCAGAATCTGGGCTCATCATCACTTCCTCATAGTTCGTAGGTTCGTTATGGTCTAGTAACATGACTTCCAGAACGGGATTACGGTACCACTCTAGTGCAGAACGTACACTGGTTAAGCTAACTTGATCTGAAGTTTCATGATCATCATCATTAACTTCCTCACTAGTTGGTGTAGGCATCATGGGAACGGTTTTTTGTGATGAGCTACTTTCCAATTCGAGAGAAGGTACAATTACCTCATCAAGTTCTACTTTCCTCCCACTCACTTCTTTCGAGAGAAACTCCTTCTCTAGAAAGGATCCATTCTTAGCAACAAAGATCTTGCCTTTGGATCTGTGATAGAAGGTGTACCAAACAATTTCTTTTGGGTATCCTATGAAGACGCACTTCTCCGATTTGGGTTCGAGCTTATCAGGCTGAAGCTTTTTCACATAAGCATCGCAACCCCAATCTTTAAGAAACGCCAACTTAGGTTTCTTGCCAAACCACAATTCATATGGTGTCGTCTCAATGGATTTAGATGGTGCCCTATTTAAAGTGAATGCAGTTGTCTCTAATGCATAACCCCAAAGTGATAGTTGTAAATCGGTAAGAGACATCATAGATCGCACCATATCTAATAAAGTATGATACAACATTCAGACACACCATTACGCTGTGGTGTTCCAGGTGGCGTGAGTTGTGAAACTATTCCACATTGTTTTAAATGAAGGCCAAACTCGTAAATCAAATATTCGCCTCCGTGATCAGATCGTAGAAACTTTATTTTCTTGTTACGATGATTCTCCACTTCATTTTGAAATTCTTTGAACTTTTCAAATGTTTCATACTTGTGTTTCATCAAGTAGATATACCCATAGCTGCTCAAATCATCTATGAAGGTCAGAAAATAACAATTCCCGCCGCGAGCCTCAACACTCATCGGACCGCATACATCAGTATGTATTATTTCCAATAAGTCAGTGGCTTGCTCCATTGTTCCGGAGAATGGAGTTTTAGTCATATTGCCCATGAGGCATGGTTTGCAAGTATCAAATGATTCATAATCAAGTGATTCCAAAAATCCACCTGCATGGAGTTTCTTCATGCGCTTTACACCAATATGACCAAACCGGCAGTGCCACAAGTATGTTGCACTATCATTATCAACTTTGCATCTTTTGGCATCAATATTATGAATATGTGTATCACCACGATCGAGATTCGATAAAACATTTACATTGGGTGTATGACCATAGAAGGTTTTATTCATGTAAACAGAACAACAATTATTCTCTAACTTAAATGAATAACCATATTGCAATAAACATGATCCAATCATATTCATGCTCAATGCAAACACCGAATAACATTTATTTAGGTTCAACACTGATCCCGAAGGTAGAGGGAGTGTGCGATGGTGATCTTATCATCCTTGGAATCACTTCCAACACACATCGTCACCTCGCCCTTAACTAGTCTCTGTTCATTTTGTAACTCCTGTTTTGAGTTACTAATCTTCGCAACTGAACTAGTATCAAATACCCAGGGGCTACTATGAACACTAGTAAGGTACACAATAATCTGTATATCAAATATACCTTTGTTCACTTTGCCATCCTTCTTATCCGCCAAATGTTTGGGGCAGTTCCACTTCCAGTGACCATTTTCTTTGCAGTATAAGAACTCAGTTTCAGGCTTGGGTCCAGCTTTGGGCTTCTTCACGGGAGTGGCAACTTGCTTGCCATTCTTCTCGAAGTTTCCTTTTGTTTCCCTTGTCCTTTTACTTGAAACTAGTGGTCTTGTCAAACATCAACACTTGATGCTCTTTCTTGATTTCTACCTTCACCGATTTCAGCATCGCGAAGAGCTCGGGAATCGTTTTCGTCGTCCCCTTGCATATTATAGTTCATCACAAACTTCTAGTAGCTTGGTGATAGTGACTAGAGAACTCTGTAAATCACTATATTACTAGGAATATTAACTCCCACTTGATTCAAGCGATTGTACTACCCATACATTCTGAGTACATGCTCACTGGCTGAGCCATTCTCCTCCATCTTGTAGGCAAAGTACTTGTCAGAGGTCTCATACCTCTCGACATGGGCATGAGTATTAAATACCAATTTCAACTCTTAGAACATCTCATATGGTCCGTGGCGTTCAAAACGTTTTTGAAGTCCTATTTGTAAGCCGTAAAGCATGGTACACTAAACTATCAAGTAGTCATCATATTGAGCTTGTCAAACGTTCATAATGTCTGCATCAGCTCCTGCAACAGGTCTGTCACCTAGCGGTGCATCAAGGACATAATTCTTCTGTGCGGCAATGAGGATAAACCTTAGATCACGGACCCAGTCCACATCATTGCTACAATCATCTTTCAACTTATTTTTTTAGGAACATATATAAAAAAATAAACGGGGAGCAACATCGTGCGCTATTGATCTACAACATAATTTGCAAATACTATCAGGACTAAGTTCATGATAAATTAAGTTCAATTAATCAGATTACTTAAGAACTCCCACTTAGATAGACATTCCTCAAGTCATCTAAATGATCATGTGGTCCAAATCAACTAAACCATGTCCGATCATCACATGAGATGGAGTAGTCTTCAATGGTGAACATCTCTATGTTGATCATATCTACTATATGATTCACGTTCAACCTTTCGGTCTCAAGTGTTCTGAGGCCATGTCTGTACATGCTAGGCTCATCAAGTTTAACCCAACTATTCCGCATGTGCAAAACTGTCTTGCACCCGTTGTATGTGAACGTAGAGCCTATCACACCCGATCATCACGTGGTGCCTCTTGCAACGGTGCATACTCAGGGAGAACACTTATACCTTAAAATTTAGTTAAGGGATCATCTTATAATGCTACCTCGTACTAAGAAAAATAAGATGCATAAAAGATAACACAACTGTTACAATGATTGGCGATTTTAGGGGCCGTCCACTGCGATCAAATGGTGGAGAAATAGGAGTTATGAAGAGTTACAAGACTAAAATTACATGAAATTACAAATAATTGTTGGACCATTACAAGATTATGGTGGGGATAATCAATTTCTAAAAGGATAGATGCGTCCAATTTAGTGTGCAGCACTGGGAGAAAAGGAAAATAAAACCTAGCCCCGCACGCTTCTTCCCCGTTTTGTCAATCCCCTCTCCGCTCGCCTCCTCCTCTCACGGGTCGCTGCGCCGCCGTCTCAGCCGCTTCTCCTGCGCCTTCTCCTCCCCGCTCCTCTCCTCATAGCTGAGTCCTCGACCAGATCGGCGTCCATCTTCAGCGGCGGCGGCATCTTCAGCGGAGGAGGCGGGTGGTCGTGGCGGCGGCATCTCCAACAGCGACGCCGGACGAGCTCCACGCGCGGGGGAGATATCTCCACGGGCCCACGCAACTACGTTCCCTCGCTGACGTCGGCCTCACAAAGAAGAGGTCTAGTTCGCCCGTGCCGCCGATGAGGTGGAGCAGCCACGCCCAAAGGAGGTCGTCCCCAATGCCTGCATCTAGTCGTCGACCTTAACAACACTGAAGTCGCCGCTGCTAGTCGAGGTCGCCCAGTTAATACCGGCCCCGCCGTACTGCAGCTCATCTTGCCCGAGGACATGATACGTACGGGCTCTTGCTCCCCCTTCATCCCCCTCTATTGATCCCGACATGTATTTATTTGATTGGGCAGTTCAATTCGGTGCTTCCAAGTGAGGAATTGGTTGGATGTGTGATGGCCTAGTGGCGGTAGATACTGATAGATTTGTGCTTTGTTGATTGATGCACATGGGGAGCTATAAAGTTACCCTGGAGAGGAATCAAATTACTTGTAGAATGATATTTGCAGTGATATTGTTCGTCACGATACAAAGCGCAGGAATCATATTAATAAGTTATACATCGTTTGTGCCATAATTTGCCATCTTGGATTGATATAAGACAGATGGACCAAAATCATCTACAATTTCTCACTAAGTAGAAATTTGCTACTGCAATCCTTCTGGTTTAGGAAAGTGACAGTTTTCAAAAATTGTTTAGACGGAGGGAAGAACATACAACACATGTAGGACGTAGTTTTTTTATCTTCGATGTTATTTTCCAGGTGAAATCCATGGCTGCTTCCTAAAACTTACAATTTGTAAGCAGATGTTTCAATTGCCGAAAGATTGTTGTTGTTCTGCCACTATACTGACCATCCAGCTTTAAATTTTAGTGTAATATCAAGATATTGCAATTGAACTCTTCTTAAGGTAATTCTCTGTTTTATCTGAACTCACTAAGATTATTTGCTTTTCCTTTGGTCTTTGTGCATTTAAAATGCCAGAGAAAATATTGTCAATCTCTTTAATTTTCACACAAAGCTAAGGTGTTCCCCATTTATAATTTTGAGACAAGCATCTTCTCAAAGCTTAGGCTTACAATGGAGACACCATCAATGGCTATTCCAAAGTTCTATGCCTGATCTGTCAGTATCTTTCTAATCTCGCACCTCACGCGCTGAAATTAAAGGGGAAAGGAGCAAACAATGAGCACCCACAAGTAATATATTCTGCCATATATATACAAGCATGCCTACACAATGCTAGTAATCATCATTGTGTAGAATGGTGCCATACATTGTGGAGCAAGGCCATAACTATGTTTCTTCACCTACATTTGCACAGATGAGCAATTATTATCTTATTGCCTTTTTCAGGTATTTGGCAATGTTGGCTCTTGGGCTGCCCAATTGATCACTGAAGCTGGTGGCAAGGTGGTCACCATCAGAGATGTCACAGGGGCTGTCAAGAACTCCAATGACATTGACATAGCCAAGATGATGAAGCACTCGGCAGAGAACTTCAGGATCAAGGGCTTTGACGGGGGCGACGCTGTCGACCTGATCTCACTGCTCACGGAAGAGTGGGACGTGCTCACCCCGACAGCTCTGGGAGGAGTCATAAACAAGTAATCTTCTTCTTCCTCGTCCCAGCTCACTTCATCCTATCTTCTATCATATTACTGCTCTGAAGCTCAGTTAAAGTATCCTCATGGCTGTTATTTGTTTTCTATATCTGAAAACATTTTTCTTAATATGAAGTCCGTTCGATTTTCGGATTCTGGCAAGTACTACCAGACAGCATAGCAACCCTCATTGCAATTTGTATTTTGCTAAATTTTAACTCACAACTCTGCTGAACCTGACTATTTTTTTGCAAAACCTGACTATTCTGTCTGTGCCACATTTATCTTCAGTATTCAGAATGCACCATCTTCTGAACTTGCATATTTAGTACGTAGTATGTATCAGCAGTGCACACACACATTAATTAGCATGGAAAGCTTTCTCAGAATGGACTAGAGATCTCAAATGGAAGTTGCCAGCCGAGTCTAACACTTTGATTTGTTAAGAAAATCTGCAGTACCTGCCTATTCTAATTGTACCGTTTATCTTCAGTTTTTCTTCTTCTCCTAGGGACAATGCTGATGCCATCAAAGCAAAGTACATCATCGAGGCTGCTAACCACCCAACAGACCCTGAGGCCGACGAGGCAAGAACACCAACATTTTGCCACAAAACTAAGCTGCATTTGTTGACACATTTCACACAATGACTGACAGTAGAGAAGTGTACATGTTCGTGGTGCAGATTCTGGCAAAGAAGGGCGTGCCGATCCTACCGGACATCCTAGCCAACTCCGGTGGAGTGATGGTGAGCTACTTCGAGTGGGTGCAAAACATCCAGGGGTTCATGTGGGATGAGGAGAAGGTGAATCGGGAGCTCAAGACATACATGACCCACACCTCAAACATATTTCTGATTATTTAGGCAGTGTATGTTGTCGTATAGAATGGACAGTAATTATGTATTTTATTTTGAAAACCAGAATTGGCTCAATTTGGAAGAATGCCTATTTTATATGAATTTCTTGCCCGCTTTGCATGCGTTGCTACAAGTGCATTACCATGCCTCAGCCATAATCATCCTTGACAAATATGGCAGCCACCTTTAGTATGGAACAGAAGAAGCATGCACAACCTATTTTGTCACTGAGCAAGTTTAGCATCTGTTTGTACATTGTTGATGTTATGCTGGTTCTTATTGTTGTCCTAGCTGTTTAGTTAGAGCATCTCCAGCCGCGCCCCAACAGCCCCCCCCCCCCCCAGGGAGTGTTTTTTTGCCGGCGCCAAAAAATCCCCCTAGTCGCCCCCAGGGCGCCGATTTCCGCCAGTTTGGCCCATTTTTTGGCCCGGCGATCCCAGGACAAACCCAGTGCACTGGGGGTGCTTGGGGGCTCCGGTAGAAGGGAAAATGGCGCATTGGCCACTACTGGGCTAGCTTTTTCGGGCGCTCTGGCCACGCAAGTGGGGATACAGGCGAGCTTTTCCGTGCTGAATTATTGTCCCAAGTAGTGTTTACATTATTTTCGAACGAATAGTCACTTCATTGAAGTGACAATTGTGAGACTATGTTTACAATAATAGGCTTTCAACTTTGAGTTGTTGCTCAATTTTTAGATGAAAGGTTCCTTTGATGCCCACACACTAAATTCTAGCTTTTACTACTTTTGTATTCATATGCTGCACTAGTCCAAACCAGTGTTATGTTCATAACATCAATTAAACGACCAGTTTTAATACGAATGTCACTACATTTTGGATTGATGCAAATTTGCACATGCACATTTCATGAGACAAGCAAAGAGTATTAGCTAAAAATTTTGGTACAATTTGTCAAATGCATATTTTCCATCATATAGTTGTACATGTACCTGGGTATAACCAATCAGATAGCACATTGATTGAATCAGTTTTAGAGTTCAGGGTCAGTACATGACAAGCCAGTACTGAAATGATCACCTATCAACAAGCTTATGATAGGCCCAAACATGGAGTCTCCAGTTCTCCTTCTATACAAGCATTTCGGGTGACAAGTTCATTTGCATAAAAAATGAGCAGGAGGACTCGACCAACTCCAGTTGAAATAGTGCTACATAAGACTAATTCCACAAATAATGTACAGAAGTAGTAGAGCAAGCACAACACAATATCACTAATAAACATATAAATGGGAGTCTTCTTCACATAACGCAGACCTTGGTCGTAATAGTCATGATACATATGATAGGGTACGTACTCTGATTACATAGCATCATAATTAATCCATCACACTCTACAAGTTTTTTCTGCAGGTACACTCTACAAGTTGCAACAAAGATAGTTACTAGAATTGCATGTAAGGAAATGCAGCTCTCTTCTCTTCCTTGATGGAGTCTTTGTCCATCCAAAAGCTCCCACATATCCTTTTTCTTCACATGGCAACCCTATTTTAGAGAAAGCAGAGGAGGTTCAGGATCGTGGCCCACAAATTTTCTTGCTGGAACCTGAACATTACATAGCAGGTTCACAAATTTACTACTCATATTACGGCACACAACTCCAAAACAGCAGCTTCGTAAGCTCATGATTTAGATGTTGTGTAAATTAAGCATGCTAGGTCAGTTCTATGCACCGTTTTACAAGATTCAGATTTATGCTAGCTCAAAAATTGTACATACTGTGCCATCCAATAGACAATTCTATGCACCGCTTATACGGTACTAGATGAGTAGTATTTAAAATCCGTGCATTGCTTTTCATGGCAACCAATCATAATACAGTAGTTGACATGATATAATAGCTCATAACTGTCGATGGTTGGTCATGTTCTAACAGAACTATTTGGCTGCAGCATATCTTCAGAAGTGAATTAATAATATGGTGTACAATGAAGCTAATTATTCTAGTCAAGTGGTCACATAGTCTTTTTACGATCAGAATCAATGATAAGACACATTCAGTGGGGCATGTCTATGATAAATTACCTTTAAAACAAACTCAAAGTATCCAATATCAGAATGCAGTGTAGTTGGAGTATAAGGCTTGACTACTTCCTCAGCAGTAGCATTCTTCCCTCTGAAGTCGGTTAACAAAATACAGAAAACGGAAATAGAATATTTGACTCACTCCATGTACCAATGCCCATAACTCAACATCATAACTGTAGACCAGGATATGAGCAGAACAAGTGTTCAGACCTGCATCTTATATATTGGCCAACTGCAAGGCCCAACAAAGAAGTAGATCTAGGGAAACAAATTTGAACTTGGCCACATTATGACTAATCTGACTCTTCTGCACAAGATCATAGCACATCCATAAATTTTTATGTCATACACAAATGTCAAAAGCAGTAATCTTGAATGCAGCAAATAATTTTGTCCAAGGGATACTAAATGTGAAAATGAATCACACAAACAGTTTAAAAATCACCTAGAATCTGTAAGTGCAGAACCATGCACACTAAATCATGCTGCAACTTTGGACTAAAGTTCAAATTTCAGAATCTGCTAGGGATCAAGGATTCCTAGATGCACTACATAAGGTGGCCGGCTGCTCAAATACGGATTTGCAGCAGCTTAATTCCTCATACAGGTGGAGACTATCTGACTAGTCAGGGGGGGAGGGAAAGGTACCTATCTAGGGATTGCTCGCCGACATTGATGGGTGTCGCCGACTGCTTGACGGAGGGAGGCGCTGCAGTAGGGCGCGCTGCAGTGGATCCTCGCGTTGGGGCGGAACCCCCTGGTGGCAGGAGCAGGTCGAAACTAGGGAGGCGGACCGCTGCTGCTTGCCCTCGATCGGGGCCACCGCGGGATCTCTCGATCGAAACGGCGAAAATGGCGGCGACGGCTATGCGATGAGAAACACAACGATTTGCATGGGGAACGGGGAGCTAATTCTCTTGCAGGACGAATCGGAGGAACTTTACTATTCTACCCTTTTGACCAAAAAATAATTCTTTAATTGATTTTCCAGATGTGACTGTCAGAAAAAATTGAAGGTGGAGTTACACGAAATTACGAGTTGTAACTCGCCAATCACCCTAAAAGAGCTCAAAAGATAAACATCACATGCAATCAAAATATGTGACATGATATGGCCATCATCATCTTGTGCTTTTGATCTCCATCTCCAAAGCACCGTCATGATCTCCATCGTCATCGGCTCGACACATTGATCTCCATCGTAGCGTCGTGGTCGTCTCGCCAACTATTGCTTCTACAACTATTGCTAATGCATAGTGATAAAGTAAAGCAATTACATGGCGTGTGCATCTCATACAATAAAGCGACATCCATAAGGCTCCTGCCAGTTGCCGATAACTTTTACAAAACATGATCATCTCATACAACAATGTATATCACATCATGTCTTGACCATATCACATCACAACATGCCCTGCAAAAACAAGTTAAACGTCCTCTACTTTGTTGTTGCAAGTTTTACATGGCTGTTATGGGCTTCTAGCAAGAACCTTTCTTACCTACGCATCAAAACCACAATGATGTTTTCGTCAAGTTTGCTGTTTTAACCTTCAACAAGGACCAGCCGTAGTCAAATTCGATTCAACTAAAGTTGGAGAAACAGACACCCGCCAACCACCTTTATGCAAAACAAGTTGCATGTCTGTCAGTTGAACTGGTCTCATGAATGCAGTCATGTAAGGTTGGTCCGGGCCGCTTCATCCAACAATACCATCGAATAAAAATAAGACATTGGTGGTAAGCAGTATGACTATCATCACCCACAACTCTTTGTGTTCTACTCGTGCATGTCATCTACGCATAGACCTGGCTCGGATGCCACTGTTGGGGAACGTAGCATGCAATTTCAAAAAATTTCCTATGATCACGCAAGATCTATCTAGGAGATGCATAGCAATGAGAGGGGGAGAGTGTGTCCATGTACCCTCGTAGACCGAAAGAGGAAGCTTTAGCTTAATGCGTTTAATGTAGTCGAACGTCTTCTCGATCAACCGATCAAGCACCGAATGTACGACACCTCCGAGTTCTGCACACGTTCAGCTCGATGATGTCCCTCGAACTCTTGATCTAGCAAAGTGTCAAGGGAGAGTTTCGTCAGCACGACGGCATGGTGAGGGTGATAGTGAAGTGATCCGCGCAGGGCTTCGCCTAAGCACTACGACAATATGACCGGAGGAGTAAACGGTGGAGGGGGCACTGCACACGGCTAAGAACACTTGGTGTGCCTTAGAGGTGCCCGCCGCCCCCGTATATAAAGGAGGGAGAGGGTAGGAGCCGGCCCTAGGGGCGCTCCAAGTGGGGGGAGTCCCACTTGGACTCCTAGTCCAGTTCAGCCCCCTTCCTTTTACCAGAGGGGGAAAGGGGGAAGGAGAGGGAGAAGGAGAAGGAAAGGGGGGCCGCGGCCCCTCCCCTAGTCCAATTTGGACTCCTCCCTTGGGGAGGGGGGTCACTACCCTTGTGGGCTGCCTTGCCTCCCTCCTATGGCCCATAGGGCCCATATCTTCCTAGGGGAGTTCCGGTAACCCCCCCCCGGTACACCGATATGTATCCGATGCACTCCGGAACACTTCCGGTGTCCGAATACTATCATACAATATATCATTATTTACCTCTCAACCATTTCGAGACTCCTCGTCATGTCCGTCATCTCATCCGAGACTCCGAACAATCTTCGGTCACCAAAACACATAACTCATAATACAAATCATCATCGAATGTTAAGCGTGCGGACCCTGCGGGTTTGAGAACTATGTAGACATGACCGAGACACCTCTCCGGTCAAAAACCAATAGCGGAACCTGGATGCTCATATTTTTTCCCACATATTCTACGAAGATCTTTATCGGTTGAACCTTTATGACAACATACGTTATTCCCTTTGTCATCGGCATGTTACTTACCCGAGATTCGATCGTCGGTATGCTCATACCTAGTTCAATGTCGTTACCAACAAGTCTGTTTA